GACATTTTTTATCTCACGGTCTTCTACGGATAAATATATTATAGATGATTGAACTAATGTAACAGTTTAAAAAGCACACGAAACAAAAAAGCAATGATATCTCTAAAAACATACATGCAAACCTTACAGGTACAGAAGCTGCCGTCAAGCATGCGTACATCAATTGTTTTCAAGTTATTACCATTTTATCTTAGATGTACACGAAACACAGTACAGTACGAAACCTTCCTTCAAAGACTACATTTTACATTCATACTTATTATATGGTTATGGTTTTCAAACGCGCACTTGGTGGTGCGTTTTACAGATCACAGTTTCTTTCGCTGTTGCTTTAAAGTATATAATGAGATAATAATTTTTTCACTGTTTATAATCAAATAAATTTTGGAATAATTAGTAATGAAATAAATCAAACGGTTTTCAAACGCCAATTGTGCGTTTGAAAACCCAAATATTATTTTATTAAAAAAGACATTGGCACCAATATCAAAACTGTATTGAATGAAAATTCTTGACACCACTATTACGACTTTTGGAGTCGGAACGATTACTTGACGTCCCTGATATCACGATTTTCCATAGCGAAATGATTCTGGATGTAAAACATAATCATTGAATGAAGGTTTCATTCTTTGTTGTGTTTCATGTAAATCTAAGATAAAACGGTAATAATTTGAAAACTATTCATCTATATACTGCAGTTTCAGTATTTTTTTGGAGATACTATAATAACGATCAAACATTGATTCATTTTTCTAGTTTTGACTGTCTTTGGGTAATTGGCCTTTTTTCTATACCCTTTGTAGGTTCGGTCCTCTACTTCCGAGACGGACCGTCCACGCAGAATGTGTGGGGCCGGGTACGATCCCGGGTCTCCCGAAGCGGTAGGCCAACGCCTTAATGGCCTGGGCCGTCCGTCGTCTAAACAATTTCAGATAGTAATACTTCGTAAGAGCTGGGATGGGGTTGGCGAGGAGACGAAGAATGTTTGACTTGCTGACAATAAATTATAGAATCGTACGGATTTGTAAACCGAATCCCTGCAACGACGAGTTTGCCTTACTAGTGGCAATATGGACGACTATATCATAGCGTGCTGGATATCACTAGTAAAATACAAATAAATCATTTGGTATTTGAAAAATTATTAAATTCGTTTAAAAACTGCAACATACTAGTTTTATCGCTTCGATAATATACAGGGTGAGTGGGAAGTACTGTAATTAGGCATTGAGGAATCGCTATAATTTTTGTAATAATAATGCAATGGTAACGAGCAATTATTTATTGTGACATCGTCACAATGCCAGGCTGCAATTTTTAATTTATTTAATTTAAAATATGTTTTACGTCTTCAAATTAGTAGTCTCCTGCCCCTGTACATCATACTTTTCCTTTAGCAATTAGTCGTGTCGGTCATCTATCTAACTTTTTTCAGGGGAATTTTTGAATTGAAATAATGTGACTTATGGTTTGCAACGTGACTCAGAAGCTCTCATATCGGGGACTCCTGTCCTTAAGCTTTCCATGTCTGGTCCTTAAGCTTTCCATGTCGGGGTTAGATAGATGAAAACAGATTTCATCTATCTAACCCCGATCTCAAGATTAAGGAATGGCAGGCGGACGACAGGTCTAGTTTTTCAAATTGCAGTCCAATAAAATTTATGTGCACACGTACAGCAATCAATGGAATTTTACAATTCCTGCATCGATAGTATGACAGTGACCGAGAGAGCCTGTACGCGCAGTGGCAAAAAGGATGGCCAACAGCTTGTCTGTTCAGGAACGAATGTAGATTGCTGCACGATATGAAATTGGAAATCAATGTCTGCTGTGCGAAGATGGTGGCGTACGGTGAAGGAATGCCATGTTGCAATCTGTCCGGAAACAATCGAATTGTCATTCGAATGGCCTAGAGTCGGTTGCGGACGCTCAGAGAAATGGCTGTCCATCCGCATCACGATCTGAGGAAAATTGTTAATCGTGGAAAATCGTTGGGAGATGGCGCCGACACCTACATTGAATTTTTCCACTTAAGGTATGTGTCAAATAATCATGACCACATTACAAAACGTCGGTTAGTGATCAAAACCTCGTATTTGTATTTCCTAAAATTTTACGGGAGAGCTAAAAAAAGTCGTTTCAAGGGAGCAAAATTTTGAGTACGAGGTTGCGAGTTTTTGACAATGTCAGAGAGAGTGCTAAGGTACACATCACTTACGAGGTTTTGGCAATACAGTCGACCCCCCTATAACACTGTTGATAATCCCGTTTTATATGAATTCTATGTTGTACGGGTCACTAGATTTTACAAATACATGGGCCGTTCACAGCCTGGGACACGTATTTGTAAAATCTAAGTGACTCGTACAACATGGAATTCATATAAAACAGAATAATCAACAGTATTATGGGGGGGTCGACTGTATACAGAAATTGACTTAAAACCACATTTCTTTGCGTTAACTTGTTGTAGACTCATTATTAGAGATAAGAGTTTTTGATCGCCAATCGACGAAATATAGAAATTACAGCGATTTCTCAATGCCTAGTTACTTTCCATCCATCTTGTGCTTAAAATACTATAGTAATTTTTAGAACGTACTGTTTTCGAAATTTGTTTCCATATTCGTAATTTCATATAGTTAAATCAATTGCGTGGTTTTATTTAATTTCGAAAGAGACCACGTGAAAATGTATTCTTCTCTCCGACGATGTTAAAACGATTTGTAATACGTAAATTAATACAAATCGTTTTACCCATATACATATACAGGGTGTATCAGAATGACGTTATAAAAATTTGGGGGATTGTAGAGGATGAAATTTTGAACGTTTTGGTATAAAGAACCCATAGCCGGAAATGTGATATAAAGTTTCTACAGCACTTTGCACTTTGCAGTTGGTATGCTGAATGTAACAGCAGAATACAGTATATATGACAAGTTTTATTGACAAAACAGTAGAGTACAATTAAACTGTACATCGAATCATTGGCTGCACTACTTTAGAGTAAATGTTCAATTTACTCCAAATGTTTAATTTTATTTAGTTGTACACGTATCAACTAAATAAAATTAATGATGAGATTTTGCCTTGTGTCAGAGTGAATACACTATATAGTTGGTGTTCTAGTTGCACAACGATTACCGTGCCGGTAATCGTTGTGCAACTAGAACATCAACTATATAGTAAGTACTAAAAAAGCTATATTTAATTATTATCTTTAAAAGTATATTCATACAACTGAAGAATATTTTGTACCAGGTATGTACAGTACATCCACCAAACATTTTATTTCACCAAATAAGTTATTATTATTTTATTTTTAATTGTAGTCCTTATATCGTGGCTAGCGATATAAAAATGATTGTGATATTAAAAATACATTTAGAGAAGTCTACGGCAACGATTCCCAACCTTTTTCAGGTGGCGACCCCTTTTTACAAAAGTCAAGTGACCCGCGACCACGATACAATTGAAAAAGGCATTTTTAATAAGGCAATTAAAAAAACAACTAAATTAGTTTTTTAAATTAGTTTATTTTAAATTATGTTTAATTGATAATTAATTTAATACGATGGTTGAAATTTCACGTTATTAACCAGCCTCAAAATTCGCGAATGAGTTTTTGTTAACGACAATCTCATGTCATTCTCAACATTTAATTTATTCCTTTCAAACTCTCAACACATGTTTCAACCAACTGTGACAGAATAGCGTACCTAGATTACTCTTATTTTGATTTTTAAAAAATATATGAAATTATTCAAACTTCAAGACACCATTAAAAATAAAAATTGCATTACTGTATAGTGAAAACTTTTTTTTAGTTGACTGTATAAGTTGGCGACCCCACAGAAAACCGGTCGCGACCCATAGGTTGGGAACCCATGGTATACGGTTTTTACTGGCTTATCGAACAAACGAATACGACCATCACTGACGCACAATTAAAACCCCTTAACTAAGTAGGTCAATCCACCCTCATCAAGCCTGTCGCAATCTTTAGAGCATTTTCTTTACTTGTCGCATTTATTTTTTCCAATTTTAGCAATTATCTCATCAATAGTCGTTCGCACACCTTAAATTTTAACATCAAAAGAAAATTAACGACGTCAATGTCGTCTAAACTTTGTTATCAACAATGACGTCACTAGTAAGAAGAAACCTATGTAAGCAGTGACGCCGTTTGAATATCTGCTAACCGACGTTCCAATGACCTCATTGTACCTGAAGAAGGCCATTCAAAACGGTCGAAAACGTTTGTTTCTAGCAGTTTAATCACTAAGCACAAAGTGTAAAAGGTTTTGTCTTACTTGTAGTTATTAGTCATTTAATAGTGAACAGTTGGTTTAGTTATACATGAGAGAATGAATGAATAATTATAATTCTGACAAGAAGCTAGTGTCTTGGAGAAGATTAATTATCGATGCTACAAACCAACCTGAATTTAATGACTACTGTATATTATCAGTAAGGTACAAGTACCGCTCACGTGTGGAGCGGTTGGGGGGTTACCCCCCCTCCACACGTGAGCGGTACTTGTACCGTGCATGTGGAAGTAATTGGGAGCCGGAAAGCAAAGACTGTGCAATCAGGTCAGCAGGAAAATTTCGTTTTCAAACTGTTTCCTGTCCGATGAGAAGAAAGAGAGGAGGTACAATTTAAACTCATTGTTGGTATGTTTTATGTCCGAACGTTATGGAAATTTTATAGCATTATATTTATCGGGAGAATTGTGTGTTAATGCTGTTCTGTAGATTGGATTGTCGGGCTTCGAACGTTCCTGTGTGTTTTTCTGGATGTATTGTATGTTCTAAGGAAAATTAAGGGGTTATCTTGTTAATTTGGATAGTTGTCTTTGTCTAGTCCCTACTGACTTGTGAGATAAATGGATTCTCCCTTTTAAGCGTCTGCTCTATCAAGTATGCTTGTTATAAATTTGTCCCATCAAAGAAATCACTAAAGTTCTCCGTGTCGACTCGCTCGCACTTTCTATAATCCCACAAGGAAATGGCAGCTAGCCTAAAGATTTCTAAGTACCTACCACTTGAGCAAGTTATGTTGGGTTGCAAGTTACCCCCTGACCATCTAGTCAACAGAATAATTCTAACTGAAAACTGTCATAATAAACGACGCTTTTAGCCCACGACTATAAATTAGATAGAGTTAGATAACCTAAAAAATAGGCCTTGGTGTGATAAGCCCTCCAAATTGTTAGATAAATCCTAATTTTTAGGTTATCTGTCTAAAATATAAATAAAACCCAGTTTTAAAATCAGACCAAGATTTTGTTCACAGTATTTATTTTAGTTTATTGAAATCAAAATATTTTGTATAATACAGGTTTCTTGAAAATTGGTTTACAAATTATTTTTTGTCTTCACCTTCATTTTCCTCATTTGTCTCCTCATCATCAAACACTTCATCAGATCCATAAGAAAAGGCTAATTGGTCAGTATCTTCAGGACCTGAAATTTTATTTCATGTAAAGTTATTTCAGGGATACAGTGTCAAATATTAGGGTAGTAAAGAAGATAGTACTGTATACTAACTATTTTCTTTACTACCCTAAAAAATCATTAAATTTATTCTAAATACTTTATTATAACTAAACATTTTAGCCTATGAGATACTTACATTTTAAGTTCTGGTGCAATTATAGATATAAGCTTGAATTATATATTAAAAGGTAATGTTACAACAAGCAGGATAGCCAAGAGGAGAGCTTAGGATTTTTCTCCCAGGCCTGGAGGCCATAGTAGTTCTTACCACTATAAATTAATGCTGTTTTTTACTAACAAAAAATAAAAATATTTAAGACAGGAGTCTGTTGTTATTGATAAAGAAACTTTTTCAAAAAAAAATGTGAAAAAGAATTACATAAAGGCAAAAGGACTTCTACCCTAGTAACAAGTATGAGGGTCAGCTGAAAAATAATTCACTCTCACATAATAAAAAAAGGCATGTAGATACATAAAATAAAATGTACTTTCAAGAATATGCATTTACTTCTCAATATAGTCACCATTTACAGCTATATCTCACGACAGTGAATCAGTTTTTCATCCTATCAATGAAGAATTTAGACAGTCTTTCCTTGAAGTGAAGGCTGCAGTGAGTTCATGGATCATCATCTATGGTGAAATGAATAATGGCCCTTAAACTCAGGAAGAAGTGAAAATCACAGGATGCCAAATCTGGTGAGTGTGGAGGGTGCAAAATAGGTTCGAATTTTAACTTTGCTACATATATTGTGCACTATCACAGAGACTCTTGCAAAGCATTATAATGTTGCAGGATTATCACTTTGTATGCTGTGTTTTAAGGTTTATATGCACTGCACAGAATTCAAGGTTGTCCCAGCTTCCAGATACTCTAATGTACTGTAAACTTGTTTGGCATTCCAGAATACTGGCAAAAGAATTATTGTTTGCTGAGGGTTGATCAATTTGCAATGCAGTATTCCATGATTTGCCTTTTTTCCTTCTGGATCATAATGATGCACTCAATTTTCTTTTCAATATTGTGATGGGAGATGAACATCATGATAGCATTTCATAGGTTGTTTGCAAAATTCTTTTCATTGTCATTTGTTCTCTTCTATGAGTTTGCACAGCACCCACTGCAAACAGATCTAATTGCTCAATCATATGACCTATTCATTCTTTCAATAAGCCTAGTTGGCAATGCAACAATCACTTTAATCAATTCATTTATGAGCGTTTGATGTTTCAGTCATAGAAACTAGACAACCATTGCAGGATTCATAATATTCATTTTACTAATTCCTGATGCAAAAAATTTCATTGCCTACCACAGTACAGGTAACCCCCGTATAACATGGTAGTTACGTTCCAAAAAATTGCCGTGTTATGCGAATCCATGTTATACAAAACAAAGAACTAATAATAAAAGGAGGGTTAGGTTCCAAAAATTAAAAATCATGCTAGTATATTTTCATAATTAAGATAAATATCTTCATTAAAATTTTTTTAAGTGATACATATTAATATAAATTAAACAATGTTTTCTTCATCATCACTAAAAACACTATTAATTAACCGAGAGCGTTTTCTTTTTGGCAAGTTATCCTTATCCTCTGAGTATTTTTCTGCATTATCTTCAGATCCATGCTTTACCTTTTGCAAAATGTATGTAATTTTAGATTGCTTGCTTCTAGTTAAAAGGTCTTTATAAATTTCCTTATATGGTGCTAAGCACTTATGAAGAATAAAGCAAGTATGGAATAAGGGAAAAACATTCGGCAACATCAGAAGCAGAAGCGTCGCGATCTGGCAACATTGAAACAAGTTTCGAGAAGGACCACGTGTATCGACAAGAAGAGAAAATTTACATACTTAAGTACTAATAGTTCATGAAAATAATAATTTTCATAAACTATTTATATTATTACTTAAGTATGTAAAAATTTATTACATTTCCTGTTGTACGAGGGTTTTACCCAATTCTCGAACTGTGTTAGAGTGAATCCGTGCTTATAGAAGTGCCGTGTTATACGGGGGTTACCTGTACTTTGATCAATAGTTTTATCACACCATAAGCAGCTTGTAAACTACAATGAATGCCACTAGAATTCACTCTTTTGGCTATTAAAAATTCAATCATTGCATGTTGTTTTAAACACATTGAGTCAAGTGTGCATGCTATATCAATGGCAATAGCTACTAATATAGGACAATTGAACAGAATTCAAGAAATCCTGGCATGTTTGTAGTGCATGAATATAGCTACCAGATGGCAACTAACACTGCTTCTTATGACATTTTCTTCTCGTGTTATGTGCAATTGTGCATTACTTTTCAGCTGACATTCATAGTTATTTTGAACATAAGGTAGATAACATGCATATGTTATCTACCTTAAGGTATGTTCTAAGTCTGGTACTTTTGAAACCGTGCTTGTAGTTATTAGTAGTAATTCAAACACAAATAATTATCGTATTTATCTTCAGGCACTTGGCAATACTCATCATCAAGTTTTATTCAGTCAAATTCAAACACAAATAATTATCGTATTTATCTTCAGGCACTTGGCAATACTCATCATCAAGTTTTATTCAGTTGATATGTTCTAAGTGTTCTTCACATACTTTGATATAGACTTTCATTTTTGTTGCCACTCTTCTATGGCAGTATGAATGCTTTCCATAGGAAAGGCAGCCTATTCTTGCAAAGGGGAGGTTGAGGCTTCTTTGGACCCTCAGCACTTATGAAATAATCTAAACTAAATTCTATATAAGGTCAAAGTTTAATGGGTTAAGACCCAGGTAATTTGGCCTCCTTCCTTCAAAATGAAATCAGGACTTGTTAAAATCAGTATGTTTTGGGACTGTGGGCCAGAGCTGAGTCTTTCTGAACAGTTAAGTTATGAATTTTGAACAGAATTCTATTCAAATAGATTCTCCAAGCAGTGGTAGAACAGTCTTGTAGTTTCTCACTTACTCTAACCCCTAAAACAAAGGTCTGCTTTTCCTTGATGATTGATCCATGCCCAGATCATCACATTTCTGGCTATTCAGGAGAATATTTTTCACTGATTTGGCATTGACATGGTCATTTTACTTGAAAAAATTTTTCCTCCAAGGTAAATATTAACATATGATGTGAAAAATACTCTCTTCAGATCTCTGCAAAAGGTAGTGATAGCAAATCAGCCTTTTCTTCTTTTGAGCCTGCATCAACATGTGATAAGCTTAAGATTTTAAAGCATGATACCTGAAGTTCTTTTTCAGTGCAGATGAAGAGAGATTCATATGTAAGGCCAACTTTGTCATCAGCAAAGAAAGATTTCTTCTTATTTGTCTCTTCAAAGCTTCAAGCATTTCTGGAGTTCTTTCATCCTCAAACTATTTCTTAGTCAGTTCTCAATACTCTGTTAGTTTCCTTGTACCTCTTAATAGTATGGTACACAAATTCTTTGTAACATTTCCAGGTTTTAGCAAATGGCAAATTTTATTCATTGCTTGAATAAAAAGTTGCTTGCTTTCTCTCTCTCTCTTCTTTTTGTAGTTAATCTCTGTTCTGTTTGCCATGAATAACCACATGAATAGAATTCAAAAAACATTCATAAAAACTTAATATGCTTTTTCTTTTGTCTAAATAGTTGATGATCTCTAGTTTTGATTCTATATATTTACAACATATTCCTTTTTAGGTGACATCACATGGATAACAAATAGTGTGTAAAAGCACTACCTCAGTGAAGGTATGCTTCCCTTCCATAACTTTCAAGTGTCTCATCTGCTGTCAGTCTTCTAGTTATTATTCTGTGAAAAATCTGCCAAAAGTCTCTTCAGCTAGTGTGGTCTGTCCTCTATATCCCTTGCTTTCTTTATGTTTGTCTGGTGTTCTATGTCACCAAGTCTATAGGCCTACTTCGTTGCAGACTTGGTGACATGGAAATAGGGCCAGCACACAAGTATCTGATGTCCCTAGGCAAAGAAAATTTAGGCATCTCTGTATAGTATATATATCATCACTATGAACATTTAAAAAACATTTACTAATTAACAATTCTTTTTTTTTGTTTATGAGTAAGGCTGTGAGATGTTCATGAAAGGTTTCCCGTTAGCTGAATAAGACAAACACCCAATAAAAAGGAAACATGCAGTAAAATTGAATTTGTGTGCGAGATACTTACATATAGGTTCAAATAATGGATCACAACTCTCAAAAACCCAATCATCAGTAGTACAATTATAAAATATGACAACACACCAAATCACAATAATACTAATCCATACAAAATTCAAGAATACTTCTTACAGAAAGAATTCCTTATCACTAACTTTTACAAATAATACAGTAGAGCCTCGAAAACTCGGTACTCCAGATAACTCGGCCACACCCTGGCAGGACAAAAAAATCCTTAGTTAATTAATTTTCATGATAAAGACAGCTTTATGCCTCAAAGTATTTTTCTGAGGTCTGTCTTATCAGGTAAATTACTGTATGCAGTGTATTCATTAATTTTCTTTTTCATGTAGTAAAGGCTCTATGCCTTCATAAAAGACGTACTTTTCCTTTGTTTATGGGTATTTGGGCAGTTTATTCTCTGTTGTATTCTCAAGTAAACAATACATACAAGTACAGTACAGTATTTTCTGAAGAAACACTCATACTTATTTTTTTTAATCCCATTCCTAGTAACCCGGCATTTTCACAAACTCGGCCACCCTTCGGTCCACATTAGGCCGAGTTTGAGGCTCTATTGTACTAATTTTACACTGAGAAAGTAAGATTGAAGATAGGGGTTAGAAGTAGCAAAGATGGTGGATAGGACAGAACAAAAATAGCCAGGTTTTGTGGACATCTTTCTGTTGTCATGATGGGCCACACGGAAACTTCTTGCACACAATTCATGCTTTTATCTTCTTTTCCTTGATCTCAGAAGGTTTTTACTTATATCCAAATTGTTTGTCACACATTTGACTCACAACTGGTCAAGTTGAATGCCAACTCCAACACACTGACTTCAGCCTGGGAATTTTGAAGTTTCAGTTCAAAGTTATGTTTTCACCTGTCTATTGAAACACTGGACACTAGATCATCCTCTCTCTTTGAGCACTGCCCAAAAAGTGACCTTCCTTTGCTTCATAAGACCTCAGGTAACTTCGTATTCATTACGCTGGTGATTCTAGGAAGTGGTTCTCGCCTCCAAGAAGGAAGAATTAAGAAGATCAGAAAGTTCTCAAAGGAACAAAGAATACGGAAAAATGTTTTCCTCTTTTTGTTCTTGTTTCAGACAATGTGGTGTACAGACACAGCTGGCACTTCTTGCTGATAAAACCACTCCTACATAGGAATGTCCATATATCATTTCCATGGCCTGGTTACTTGTCAGGAACTTTCTTTGTGTGGAAAAAATAATAGCCAGTAACAGTAAAATTCCAATAATATGAACTTGGTTTCAAGCATGACCTTAATTACACTGAATTTTATAACTGTACTGATAAGTTATAGTATGCAAATGTGTTGGATTTCTTTGTGATATAGCCCTTAATTTACTAAATTTGCACTCATTGACAAAGAAGGCATCATATGCATCAAGAAAGGAGCATTGGGATTAAATGAAACTACACTAGTATGAACATAATTGTGATGGTAATAAGTTACAATATCATAGCCCTCTTGTCTGATACATGCAGCAATACAGGCACTGTATGGTATTCTGTAACAAATTTGCCCACAGAAATTGAAATTACTGCTCTAGATTCTTCATATTCCTAAATGGCTGAAGCTAGCAGTATGATGAAGATATTCCTGGAAAACCCTATCCATGTGCATCTGAGTATTTTCTTGCTGAAAAATGGCTGTCCTGTCTTGAAAATGATGATGGTACAAGGAACTGACAACACAGCAGTAGGTTTAGGAAATCCTGTTATTTATAGTTTTTTTATTAATAAAATCTCTATACATGATAGATAAATATCATTTCAATCTACAAGTTTTGAACAGTTGATCTTTTCCCATTTACTTCTGGCTGGTAACTGAATATACGAAGTAGTAACATTCTTTTATTCACCACAAGGCTCAAAAACTACATTTTTCACTGCTCCATTATTTCTGAACTAGCAGACCCCGCCACGCCTTGTTGTGGCTCAAAATGTATCTATTATAAATATATAACACTTCCCCAGTGGGGGAAAATTTTTCGAAAAATCCCTTCTTAGTGTACATTCTGTTGACGTACTCTATTAAAACGCAATCAAAAACGGAAAAAACTGCATCTAAAATGGTATAAATAGAAGCAGAGTTCTTTACGGTAACCTTTTCCGTAAGGCTTACCGTAAAGAACTGTCCATCCCCCATGTTTAACGGAATAATATATAGCCTATGTCCACCCTGAAGTTCCATTCTAAATATTGGTGAAAGAATTTTTGAAATCGGATGAGTAGTTTCGGAGATTACCTGCTGCATACAAACTAACATACATACAAATATTACCTCTTTATAATATTAGTATAGATGATTGATTACTGTCAATAAGTCTATTTGACTTATTGATTGTCATGTTTGAATGGTTCATGTCATATTTAAAAATTTCTCATAAAATTAACTTAACACTTTTTTAGAATAATGGATAAGTAATAATTTAAGTTAATTTCTAATTGGTAAAAAACTGAAAAACAAAAGACAAAACAGAAATTTTGATTTAACTATCATCATGAAATGTTCTTTTTGCAGCAGAATTTCATTTTCCTAATTAAGTATTTTCAGAATTGTATACCTAAATTTAAATACATTGTAAATTTTTAAAAAGTATTTGTGCACAATAATATGACATTAGTTTAATTAAAAAATTGTCAGAAAAACACTTACTTTCTATATCACAACTGAATGATCTCTTAAATGGCAGTACTTCTGGCAACCATTCTCCAGTATCATAACAAGCCCGATAATCTTTTCGAGAGTTTGCATTCCCTTCTTTAGCTCGCCAACCAGGTTTGCAAACCATGATGCAAATCCTATAGAGGAAATAGTCTTTAGATGTATTCAACTAGATGATATGCTATAATTTTTGAAACACTTACAATATCTTTTCTTCAATATTACAACGTTGTTCATAATGTTTGTCAGGAGATGGATTGAAATCAATGCCACAGCGAGTGGCCCAGTCTGAAAAAAAATCCATCAGATATTAATTAGAAAATAAATAAGCTTTGTTTATTTTCTAATTAATATTTTAATATTGTATAAATTATTTTAAAATATTTACAGAAATACACATATTTATATAATGTATATAATACTAAATATTTTAAAATATTTGTCTATAATGCTTAAAATTGTTTTCTGGCCAGAAATCCTGAAAGGTATAACCAGGGCTGTGGAGTCGGAATTGAATGTGTTACTAAAGACGTGTTATTAATTAAAGACATACGGAGTGTTACTAAAGACTTTGCAAAAGTTCTGCTGGCTAGCATAAGTATAGTGGAAACTAGAAGTCAGAATATTTATGTACAGTACCTCTCGTCACTGGCAGAATCTACCTCTGAGATGTAACAGTAGTCAACCCTAAGGATGTGGTGTCTGTTCCCTACTGTTAAGTTGATCCAACTTTCTCTTATGCTGCAGGAGGAAGTCAAGGGAGCTTAAATTGAAATGAGTGAGGTTGTGTTGGGTCATGGTTTTGTTGACTTTGATGCTCCAAAGTCATCTGTCAGACTAGACATATGACAGACTTGTCATTAAAGTCACCTCCAATGAGGATAGGTTTGTCTCTGTGTGTGTTGAGATGGCATAGATCATCTTTGGCCATCTCAATGTCTGTGTCTGGTATTTAGCTGGAACATATGTAAAAATAAGCAATTATTTATTGTGACATGGTCACAATGCAAGGCTACAATTTTCAATAATATTTGTAATTTATTTAATTTAAAATATATGCTCTCCATCTCAAATTAGTACTGTAGTGTCTTACTCCTATACATCATACTTTGGCACCACTCCATTGCTAACGGAAGTCATTAACTAACTACTTTCAGGAGGAAAAATTTTTGAATCGAATAACACCACTTCGGGATTATATCGGAAGTTTATATATAATTAATTGGAGCCTACCGCCCCTAAACCTTCCATATCCGGTCTTGAATTTCTAACATAGTTCTCGAGATAAGGAAAGATAGACAGACAGTGGGAATTTATAGGTCTATAATTTTTCAAATAGACGCCCAACGAGTGTTGTTATATGTTATACAGACAGTGCTTATTGTAATATATGTTGATGATTTAAATAAACAGAAAATGTAATCGTGCAGGTGCCAAGGTGCCAACACGTAAAAAAGGGTTGAAGAAAGGGTGTGGAAAAAACGGAGTGAGAGTGCACCTACACGATTACATTTTGTGTTTATTTAAATCATCAACATATATTACAGTTATGTATTCGGGTGGCGACGTTTTTTATTCCTAATGATTATATCGGCCTCGGCGGTTCTTGTTGGTCACGACCCATGAACGTCTAGTCATCAAATCTGATTCTCTCGTCATCTCTAGCGTTCGGTACTCGGAGAATAACGTCGACGGGCAAATTTACATTTCTGTACATTAATCAATATGATCTTATAGCTGACTGTTAGAGTGGTGTATTACTCCTATCATCTGTTTGTTTTTATGTATTTTGGCAATGGAGTACTTATGAGAAAGTGTTGTAGGCAATCTTGTGTCTTCTCCTGTCAGGTAGTGAATTGCTAGCCTTTGAAGTTTATGCAGCATCGTTAACGACAATTGTTTTCTTTCAAAAATTGCAAGGTCGATGTTTCTGGCCGGTCATTTGAGTCTTGTACTCTACCTCCGTTCTGTCGCTTTTGCGAATGTAACTTTACACAAGGAGTCACGCGGCACCTTCTGTAAAGGTGCAGCGCGGTTGCTTGTTTCGGCGGCATCTGCTGCATTTTCAAAATTTGTTTTCGGGTTCACCCGTGCCGACGGCACACTTTACTGGAGTTAAGGGTAAGGAAGACAAATAATTTTAAGTTCCGAATATATTTCATCATTTGAAAGACATCGCGTAGGCATTTTTTAATTTAGGAACAAACTACAAGACTGAATAAATAAATAGTAACAACAATAAACGCAAAAAAGAGAAACTTACGGAGCGCTTCTTTTAGTCACGTGTACTAAATTACAAGCCTTCATTGGCTGCGAATGGCAGAATGCATTGACTCACCAAAAAAATAAAACCCGAACCAGCGGAATTAATGTTTTCTGCATTAGTAATAAGCATAACCGTCGGAGTTAATGCTTTTCGCCGTCAAAAACTCTCGGTATTTAATTAATAACCCTATCAAAAAACGACTACACGGGATGACGTAGAAGTGCCGTTCAAAAACCGTAAAAATAAAATTTTTGATAATTTGGAGTTAATGCCTTCCGCCTTTTACGTCACCCATTTTTTCGTAGTAGTTTCTTTCGTCGTTTTAAACACGCGTGCAATTTTCAAATTCCAAACATTTCAAGCAAAAAACATATTTTTTCTTTTAATGAAGTTTAACTATCGAAGACTTTACCATGATTTTTTTAATTCCCCGAGAATAAGCATCATCGTCCACTCATTCCGAAAATCTCGTTTTTTCATAAATAATTTAAACACTAAAAACTAGCCAAAAACGACGTAACGTTTCCTCTTTTGCATTTTAAAGTCAGAAATCTTAACGAGTGTTAGAAAAAAAGATACTTGATTAAAAAAGTATCTATTTTGCTTAGGAACCGCACCATGCCATGAGGGAAAATTCTTCAAATTCGATAACCCGGAAACGAAAAATTCTCTTTAAAATTTGATGGTTCCCGGGTACTGGGCGAGCTTTTTTGCCCGCCGAGGACCAATGTACTCCGTAACCATAGGTACACTAGGTAGTAAAATAATACGCGCTAACGATACCCAAACCGGTAAATGTCCTCCTCTTCCATTGGCCTACTTTAGTCACCAATGTCGGATTAATTGGCGTGGCGTAATAGCTCGTGACGTGAAAATAAAACCACGTCGACCCAACTCCTGCGGATAAACGGTCCTTACTGTCGTCGTTGCTACTGCAATTATTTTGATTCTTGTTAGGAATTTGTCGTAAAAGACATATTTTTCGGAGGCGACGGCCCATCTGCTTTCTCCGGCAAGAATTTTGCAGTAATTTACGCGCTTTGTATAATTAAACTTGGATATCGTTTAGGCTTAAGCAGTAATTCGGCCAGAAAATTGTTACGAGGCAGTAAGACGACTAATGGAATACGAGACACCGATTTACGAAATGCGCCGTTTTACGTCGGCAACCGCAGCCAATGCTACTTTTTGAACTATTTTTCTTGAGAAATGGATCGTCGTCTGTCGTTAAACTTGCGGAAAATTCGTTTCGATCGTTAATCGCCGACTTAGTCGTAAAAAGCGGGGATCTATCGTAATTATTTTTAAATTCATAAAGAAACAATTATATTGGTAAAACGAATTAACCCTGCTATTATTTAAGTAAGAATTAACATCTATACCTGGAATTTTTTGCTCCCTTTTGGCCAATCTGGAAAAGAAGAGTCGCACGTTTTTACGGCCGTATCTTGAAATTTTAAAATCAAGAATTCGTCGGAGTTATATAACCGGGCCTACCTGAACGACAGACAGAGGGGAAGACAGGACAAAATGCAAATTGCAAGAAAATGCAGCTTCATCTTCGACTCTTGTCCAAAAACAAATTCTTTGGCGATCTGCAATGTCCGGTATTTTAATTAAAATTAAAAACACGATTACCGAAAAAGAAACGGAACCACTTCCCTTGCAGATAAAAGCTAACGTAGACTGGTTATCGGTAGCTTATTAGCTTATCGGCAACGCTTATTAAACGATTTCCACTTAACGCCGTTCCCGATAAATCATTTTTAATCTCGACGCAAACAAATGGCTAATTAAAGCCCTTTGAAATTTATCTTCATTACTTCGGGGGTCTTTTTTGCTTTTTGTCTGAAAGCATTTTCTCAATTATTATCAACCTAATTATAATTAAATAAAACCTTAAACCACGCTTGGCACGTCGAAAAATGACTCAACGGAAGATGTTATTTTCCCCATTTGTTTTCACCGTGGTGAAAATAATCACTCTAAGACAATCAAATTTCTTAAAAAAAGAATATAAATTTCGGTAATAGTCGATGGATGAGTATTTATATTTTAACTGCGTTAAAAAGCATTTTTTAGAATCGTCGATAAAAATTTAGTCTTAACTTTATAATTTCGATAGTAAATTCCTTTCTGCGGTTCTAACGCGACTAAAACCATTTTTAAGTTTACTTAGAATTTTATATTAATATATCTGTGCAATCGAAGCGTGTCTTTAAATCCTCCAAAATTAAAATGTCTTCTCTCGTAATTTCTACCAGTTTTTCTTTTAATTCGGATAAATTCGTAAACTCGCTTCCGTTTGTTTCATTTTTCGATGTTATATGACTTGGAAAAAAAAGGCTAAACATCAAAAAGTGACTTTAATCATCGGCTTAGGATTTCAATAGGATTCTAATCGTCTTGATGGAAGATTAAATTTGCAAAAACGTTTTGTCTTGTATTTGTCGAGTTAACGTTTGAAGCACTAGCACGCATTTGACAGGGGTAGTATTTGTTACTTGCTCTAACTGATAATGTATATTGATTGTCTGTTCGTTCATTTAAGGAAAAGTTTGTACCCAGAGTAGTTCTTTATTTGGCTTTAAAAATTTACATAAAATCAAACCGATTCCCCCGTAGGGCTGAGATCTTTTCCGGAAAGCAACGCTTTGAACCGTATGAATTATTTTAATTAAGGGATAATATTCATTCGTGTAATCGTTAACGAATATTATCGCTGACGGCTCCTAACCAGTTTTCCTTCATTATATATTACTCTAATTCCTCTTTTTACTTTTCCGGTTGTTATATATAAGAAGGAAAGTATGGCCAGTCAAAAAAAGACCCCTGCAAGATTTTTACATTTCTTTTGGACTTGGGACACCTCGAAACATCGAGAAATGCAAAAAATTGTGGAAGTAATTCTGCATGTATGGATGGATGTTAGTGTGAATGTGAGCGTGGCACGATTTTGTTCAAGCTTAATAGCTTTTTGTAGAAAAATTTCTGAAATTTTGCAGGGAGGTTTCTGTATTAGGAGATGATCGATGCTATTAAATTTTGGTGATTAAAGGTCGAGGGGGTGGAGAGAGAAAGGCGGGGGTATATATCTGGTAGGGTCGGACTTAATGACAATTTTACTGGTTATTATTAGCATTTACTATTCTTTTATAATACCCATCCCTACCCTCAAAATTACGTTTTTTGCCATTTTATAATATAGTAGTTAAAAAATAAAATTTTTTTTCAAAATATTTATAAAAGATGGCGCCACAAAATGCTGCTGGATTTTAAGTGTTATTAAACTTTTTTCCAGACCGTGTATTTCGTGTACGATTACTTCATTTTTAAAAATGAAGTAATCGTACACGAAATACGGCGGTATCTCGGTACTCAAACACAAATTCTGGAAAAAAAGAGTCGTTCTGTACTCGACCGAACAAATGCCACCCACTAGAACAAATCATCGATTAGTAACATATTTTTATTTCGTTTTAATCATAAAAACTGTTTATGATAAAAATGAAAAATACGAAAACGTTTCCCATACTTTCGATGAAGATGGACAAAAAAGCCGAGAAGACGACGACCCTTTGTAAAAAGAAAAAGGCCCCGACTTAAGTAAAATTAATATTAACGCGTAATACAATATTTTTAATTGCGATTGTTAATTAATTATCGAATGTTTTAATAAACATATTTCTCTTATCAAAAGTATACAATTCTTTTTCGTTGCTAACTTCTGAAACGTAAGCCTAACCTAAATTAGCCGTTTGTTTCCTATGGCACGGATTGGCGTAACAGCACTTTTTCGGAACGTAACTACCGTGTTATACGAGGGATACCGGTAAATATAGAAAAACTCTACCGTTTGTATTAATAATGTATAAGATGAAAAAAAAACGATTTAATTATCCCAGAATTTGCTTCTTATCAGAGATCCTATTTTTACTATGTTTCTACACGGATATCGAGTTCCTCATTCTAAACGTCCGGCATTATTGTTAATTAGACAACCCTTAATAAACACGAACGAAGCATGATTATTGCCCAATTTAATCTGAAAGTCAATTTGTATTTATTTTTAACAAGAGAAGAAAAATACATTTTGAAATCGTCGGACCAGACAAAACTAAAAAGGCACCGAGCCAGATGAATTTTCTTTTAAGGGTGGGCTTTATTATTTAAAACGACCTCACTGGATACACACACGATCCTCTTTTATCTCCCCATCCCCTCGACCTTTTAAACCATCAAAATTTAATACCATAAATTCCCCTAAAAACAAATCCCCTTGCAAAATTTCAAATTTTCGACAAAAAGCACAGGAGTTATTAAGCTTTAAAGGTGCTAAACAAAATCGTGCTCACACACACAAACATATATCCGTACTGTACATGTGAGAAACTCCGAAATTTTTTTTTGATTTCTCGACGTTTCAAGTTCCCGAATCCAAAAATGTAAAAATTTTTTGGTCGTTTTTGGCCGATGCCTTACTTCCCGTTATATATAACAGGAAAGTAAAAATCGAAAAACTGTCTCAAAATCGGACAAAACGTTTAACCCGTCGTTTCGGTTCTTACGGATTTAGTAAAATTCGGAATTTCGTCCAATCTTCCGACGTCACGTTTTAATGTCCGAATAATTTCCCCTATTTAATATAATAGAAACGTTTTACAAACTTTGTTAGGTATTGCGATTTTTGTTTCAACACGCTCTCCGAGCGTATTTAAAGTACGCATTTACAGACAATACTCAAAGAATATAAGTACGGCACGCGCGCGTAACGGAAAATAAAAGACTCGATTTATTGTAATTATCGAAATTATGAATATACGGTATATATAAAATATTACGACGCTGATCGAGTCTGTATAGATCGAGTTAGGCGGGAAACGCACTGTACAGTTACGTGAACAATATAACATGATTTCCGCAAGAGTTATAAATACCGCACTTTGAAAAAAGAAAAGAAATTCGACAACATTTAATTTCAATTTTTAACAATTAGCCAAAGTAGGGTTTTGGCTCATATACATATATATATGTATATACAATATATACATTTTAAATACAATAAATATATTTTCTTTTATTAAATTAATTTCTAATTTTTTTTCTCTCGAACGGTTTTTTTACATACGTCTCTTAACAGCTATGATTTTCGTTTTATATTATTGTATTTTGAATACAATTACAATGCCGTAAATAACAGTAATTTAAAAAAAATGTCGGCCGAATAAATTTAAAAACTTCTGGAAATAGACTTACTTTAAGTTATAAACGCCGTAGACGCATCTACCTTTAACACCATAATCTAAATATAATACTTTTTAATTAAACAAAAATCACTAAAATTTGAAGATTGCTTATTTTTAAATGTCTTTTCTGTTAGATTTTTGATTGTCATACAATTTATGGGATCGATAGACAACAATTTTTAAATGGTTAAATTTTCTTAACACATCCGATCGTTGTATACATTAATCTTTTATCGTTAGTATTTTTCATAAATTTATTTACAATTCTGTAGTCAACGTTGCTATACTTAAATTATTTATATATATTTTACAGTAATTCCGAATTTATTAATGCCACCGTTAAACTCCACCGAAGGGTACTTAACTTTTTATAATTAGAGAGTGGCAGATTACTACCGAAACATTTGGTGACGTTTAAATTCCGGTTATTTTATTTACGGTTTAACACCGGATTACAATCGTCGCGTGAATAATAAATGTACGGAGTAAAATCTTGCGGTTTTAAAAACACACAAATTTTATCGAAAAGACTTACGCTAAACAAATACCTCGAGGAATAAATCAAACGAAAGGGAAAATATAAACATTAAATTAATATAAATTTCAATTGTTTTTCACGTGTTCAGTCGCACTGGCATCTTATTTAATATTTTAAGTTAAAAATTTCCAAAATTAAATCGAAAAAATAAACGCGCGATCGTACGTTTTAAGGACCTAATGTTCATTATATTTAGTAGAATTAAAATGTTCGTCGTCGTAATTTCGGAGATTTCTTAGAAAAATTTCAATTGGAAGCAATTAACAATCCAGTCCTTTCTGTTTTCGATTACAATTACATTTCAACAAAATGGTAAGAGATATTACAAAATAAAATTTGAATCTATTTTCCCAACAAGTAAACTTTCCAGCCAGACTAAAAAAAAGCCATCGAAACCAGAAACAAGTTTATCAGTCTGCCGAAATTAGCAAAGCATCTACGATTTATTCATTTTCGTTTTGAAATCTGCTTTTAGTTCTGCCGAAAATATTTTTTATCGTGTAAGATTACAAAAAAATATCAAATTTTTTTCGGCCGGATACCGCCCTACGTTTACAACTGTGGCGTGGAATACTAAGAGAGAAAATTGTCTTCAAAACAATACCGAATAAATATGGTTGCATACTAAGACAATAATTTCCAGTCTGGCTTACTATCGAAACGCACAAATACTGGTTTAAGAAAGGTCCCTTCAGACGTGAGTAGGATTTAATATACCTCGAATTTAAAAATGAACTAGGATCCGACACGATGTTTTGTTAATGCCAAAATCGGATGTTTAAATAGTTTAAAATTTGCTAATAACTTCACTGGAAAATCTGTCAAAAGACAACGTAGCGTATCGAAACACCACAAAACAACGGAAAATGTTTAAAATAATTAGAAATTTTTATTCTGAAAATAAAATTTAATTCCTAACCACGAAAAAAGTACGCGTTATTATAAAATGCATTATTTATATTATTAGAAATAAAAAAGCAGCAATTAATTAATTTGTTTAAATTTTAACTCTTCTCAAATAAATAAATATACAGTAAATACGTATTAAATGGAAGTATCACGAAAGTAACGGCTAAAGGTAATCAAAATAGTTTTATATTTAGAAACGTTTTCGGAGTAATTTGACCATTATCGGCCAGATACAAACTGTTTTTGAAAGTTTCGAAATTTCTTCCAGAAAGGGCATCAAAATTCCATTTCTAAATTACTCCAAAAACTTTTTAAATTAATAAATATTTTGATTGCCTTAACTTATTCAAATATCTCGAAAGTTTTACACAATTCTTTAATTAAATGGAAAACTTTGATTTTTTCTTTCCGTATATTTAACCTCTTTCTGCTTTATTATATCGATTTAACATTAATTAAACGAGTATTTGAATTTGATTAACGAAAATTTTGGAAAATCGGAAATAAATTACGAATTAAAGAAATGATAATCCGAATAACCGTCCATGATAAATTAACGATTTTTCGAATTTACATACCCTTAATTAATCGGGTGGATTTAAAATATTAATATTCAACAATACTCACTTGCCCGACGACAATCGTATTGGAACGGTGAAATTTCAATATTCCTAACTTGAAATTTTAAAATATTCATATAAAAAGTATAAAACACGAAATATATTGACGACGACTTTTGTTAGTAGATTCATAAAAGATTATTATTAAGATATATATTAAATAAGTAAAACGATTATAAATATAAAAGATAAGACTAGATATTTTTCGTCGGTGGCAAAATAATACATCGATAACACCGATACGATGCAAAAAACTTACGTTAATTTCATCAATAATATAAAAACAGACAAAATGATTAATGTTGTATAATGTAGATGGGCCAACTCCGTACGTACGCGCAGAGATTAAACAGAACAGTAAAACGTTAAGATCGAATATCTAAGCAAATAAAATAAATTTATTGACTAGATTATTTCTACTTTATACCGTAATAAATTAACTTTAATAATATCGAGGCACTATATTTAATAATTAATAGAATCCTGTTAAAAACGCTTGCGTGATTTAGGTCGAATTTCTTCGCGGTTCTGGATGGAGATTTTCCACTGCTTGAAATGTAGAAGCAGCTGTATTTTTGGCAGTTTTCTTTCTTCTCGAAAATATCAAAATAATGCTTCGAATTTGCTATCGTCACCGTGGAATGTCAATCACCAAGTTGAGATCCTCACACGATGCAGAGAACACAATTTCTTCTAAATTAGAATGTTAATACTGGTTCTTGTTGAATGTTTAAAAGATCTAAAGAAAAAATTAATACATCCAATACATTACATATATTAATACATATTACAAAAATATTCATCTTTTGCACAAAGAGTACTTATGCATTATTTTATTTTTTATTTGAAATTAATTTGGAAAAGGATAAGAATTGCAGACACAAATGGGATAGATGGTGATTGGTTTTGTACTTTTTAATTATTTTTATGAATTTTATCTTCTTTTACGCCACGAATATTTTTTATTTGAAATTAATTATAAATTCAGATATCGCTTACTTCTGTATTTATAAAAAGTAATTGTAACCTGTATGTTAACAATAAAAAACAGGAATAATTAACACTGTGAAGTATGTTATGATTTTAATATTTTACATTAAAAAACCTAGGTATTGTCCTCTATTCTAAAGGAATCCGTTCCTGAAGAGGACATTCATAAAGGTGGCCTTTTTAGAGATGACTGTTGTTGAAAGTTATTAGAGATTCGGCTGTATTTAATTTACACGTTTTCTTCTTTCGGTTCGTCTTTTTACAAGTTATTTCTGGATCCTCCAAACTAACACTATCACAACCAAGAACTCGCCTTCTTAAAGGCCTCTTTTCACTGTTCAGTTTTGTTCTACATCTTTATTCCAATCTGTTAAATGTCTCTAAAGAAACTTGCCTCATTAATCTAATGATTTATGAGAAAAGGCAATGCAACAAAAGAGGATGCCTCCGAGGAAGACTTTTATGGGAAACACCCTATTTAAGTGTTATATACCTAAAGAAAATTTGAAAAATTTCAGGTAGACAGACTGTTGAGAGACACAAATCAAGACCTGTGTTCAGTGGTTTTAACCAGCTCTGTGGAGATTTGAGTAAAAATAATCTCTATTAAATATTGGCTAAGACGGTGGTTCTTATGCAAATAACGTCACTTGAAGTAACAGTGAATGTGTTCATTACAATAACACATAAACAAGAACAATGTAACAAAGTTATTTCGTAACAATTAAAAAAATTCTTTAAGAAAGATCTTTATTTATCCTAATTTAATTTGTAATAATAATAAATGTATTAAATCTGTGTTTATAATCACAATATGCAACTGTATTAGATCATTAAAATATGATTTAAATAAATTGTTGTAAACGAATTATAAGTAAAGAATAAATTCATGCAGAACTCTGTTCAAATTCCTCTCATGATTTTTTTATTCAACATGATACTTGCACGCTGAGGAACATTTTTTTCCATTTCATAAACTAGGAATTGATGT